TTACCTCAGAAAAACATATTCGGTGACCATAAACTCATTAGTCAGCCAGAAAAATAAACTGTAGAGAGGGGCATTTTGCTAAATATATGCATAAAATGCATTTACTATAACGGTGTTCAAAGTGAGATTCGTAATATTTTCTAAGGTTTTAAAAGAAGTCTTTTCTGCTCAGCAAGGCTGCTTTTGTTTGTACAGTAAAAATACACGCCTGATTCAAGAAGGGGGTCTGATGGCCAAAAAATGTTATTTTACTAACTCATTAATTTTAAGTTAAATTGTGCTTTGTTGGTGTAGAATGTTTAAAAATGTTCAGTGTTAAATATTTTTAAATTGTTGTTTTGTAATAGAAAAGCAAGACAAAATGTAATTTGTGCAATGGGAAAACACTCGAGAAACTGTTCAGCATTCGGCCCAGTGCTTCATCGTGTTCGGTTTCGGCTTCAAATGTAGATTTCTGTGCATCCCTAGCTTTGTCTGATATGATTTGTGTCTGGGTTTGTAAGCGGCTCGCTCGTAAGCACGGCGTGTTGCATCTTGTTTTCTGATGTTTATGTTGAGCAGCCCGTGTTCGTTCAGCTTGATTGAGAAAAGCAGACGGTTTGAATGCGGCTCAGAGCTGTGTTTGTGTGCTGCTGTCCCTGAGATGCAGACTAACCCATTCCTTCAGACTCGTACCGTGCAGATTTCCTCTCGCTCTGCTCTGTTCGGCAGATTCTCACTCGTGTCAGCGTTATCTATCATCGTATTGTCCGTCGTAAACGTTCTGAAGGGAGCAGTGGGCTTTTATTTTCTCCTGGTGTTTGTCAGTGATGGAGTCGGTGTATATTTTCTCTGATTGTGTTTCTGTGCACGCTTTAGCTAGCTCTTTGTGTCCAGCATGAATGGTATCGGTCTTCTGCTGCAGACGGCAGCTGTAGAGGTTTTCACGAGGGTCTAGTGTTACCTTCAGCAGGTGAGTGTGCGTAACCCGAGCGAGGGCTGATGGGTAATCCGGCCTCCGGTTTGACCGACACAGGTGCTGTTGTTCTGGTCTGACGACGCGGAGGAGGAGGAGGAGGAGGAGGAGAAATTGTTTTTGTGATTTAAAATGCATTTGAAAAATGTTTGTTTGTAGGGTTACACAATGTGGCCTGATTTTGTGATTATATATCAATACGGTTATTACAAATTATAATTTTTTTCTAAATAAATGTTACTAAATAAATACTAAAAATATTTCCCTGTAAAATAAGAACTAGCCTACTGTTTTACAAAAATATTGTAATACTAATTATATTATTATTAACTGTAAGATTACACTACTAATATTTATGGTCTTATTGTCATATTGCGATTTTAGTTCGTTCTGAATTTGTTTGAAATTTGAAATTTGTTCTGAATCGCCTGCATTTGTATTTCATGTGTAATGTCTGTCTTCCAGCTCAGTTTTATAATTAGTTTTATTGGTTGTTTATATCAGTGCTTTAGCGTGACGTCACTTCGTGTGCACGTCTATTCACGAGCGGATTGGAATCGAAGCCGAGCCGTCCTCTTCATGTGTGACGCGTGAAAGAGACTCTGATCTCGGCGCGGCTCTGATGTCAAATCAACAGGAAGGTCATTGAGTTTCTACAGAGCGGCTGTTAAGTTGTGTTCGGTGTATACTGAGATGAACTGATCTCTAAATTAAAGGCCGCTGCTTCTACGGCAGATTCAGTGTCCGTCTTTAGCGTGACGCTCCTCTGAAATCACGGATGTAGCACGTGTTCATGCGACTCTGCTCGTTTCTCAGACTCTGTGCGGTGGATGATTGACAGGCGAGTGGGCGGTCCTTCACAGCAGTGTGATGTCATCACTGCTTATCGGTCTCTTATTTGTAAATCTTCGTTCTAGGCTACTGTATGAAAGGTCTTTGGTTTTTGCTGTCTCGCGCACAGGAAACGCATCATCATCACATGCTGATGGTGTTGGAGCTGCAGCTGTACAAACGACTGATCACACATTCCTGCTTCACACCAGAGTGTGTG